TCACCACCAATGGAAGAGACAGTTTTGCACATAATTGAGCAGTTTCCATCTCTGACTATCCAGGAAGTTCTTCAGGCTGTCCTCTGACAAACCTGAGGTTGGGGGGGAACCAGCAGTTAGCGTAATGGCTATGTTGCTGGACTCCCACGTAGTTGACTGCGGTAAGCGTCCCGGACCTGGTGGCTTAAAACTCACGCCGGGCGCGTGTGCGTGCGTGCCCAAGATCCTGAGAGGAGAATGGAGGAGAAGGGATTGCGGCGTGGCCATCCCCCCACAAATCATAAAAAGTTTTCACTTGTTTTTTTTTAAGGCCAAAAATGGAAAAAACTACTACTGAAAAAAAAAAAAAAAAAAAAAAACACTGAGGTTGGGGCACTCAGGGAAGGCTGTCCATCCATTTTTAGCTGCCTTGCTTTCTGGGTCACTTTGACTTACTGTAGACGATGGGCCTGTGAGGAGGAAGAGATTTGGAGGAATGCATGATTCGCTATCTAAATGCTCAATTAAAAAAGTATGGTGGGGCCAGCAGATGGCATAGTGGTTATATCGCTGAACTTCGACTGCAATTTGATTCCCGGATCCAGTGGCTTGAAAATCAAGCCAGATGCATGTGCATGCTTGCCTAAGATCCCAGGAGAATGGAAAAGGGATTGCAGCATAGTCATCTCCCTGGAGGGGAAATGTGTGATTTCTTATCTTCCTTCTTACTGTCTCTGTCTCTCTCCAACAAGTGCACACGCCCTTAGGCAAAAATGTCTTTAAAAAAATATGGTGGGGGCCAGCAGGTGGCATAGTGGTTAAAAGGCACTGGGCTTTCACATGGCCGACTACAGTTCAAGTCCTGGATCTGGCTACTTGAAAAACATGCCAGATGTGTGCGCATGCATACCTGTAGTCCTGAAAAGAAAATGGGGACCAGCAGTTAGCGTAATGGCTATGTTGCTGGACTCCCACGTAGTTGACTGCGGTTCGAGTCCCAGACCTGGCGGCTTAAACTCATGCCGATGTGTGCGTGTTCAAGATCCCGAGAGGAAAATGGAGGAGAAGGGATTGCGGCATGGCCATCCCCCCTGGGGGGTGATTTCTTGCTTTTTGTCTGTCTCTCTCAGTCTTTCCAGCGAGCACATGCGCCCTATAGCAAAAAAACTCTCAAATAAATAAATAAGAGAGAGAATGGAATAGAAGGGATTGCAGTGTAGCCATCTCCCCTGGGGAACACTTTCTCTCTTTCTCGCTCTTCCCAGTGAGCCCACATACTCTATAGCAAAAAAAAAAAAAAAAAAAATTAAAAATGTTTTAAAAAAGAAAAAAAAGTTTTTATCGAGTGTTAGGGGAAAAAGCCTATTTTAATTTTTTTTCATAGTAACAAACATACAAAACCAATTACTACTAATTTGAGTTCAGTAAAATATCATTGCTAACAATTACAAAAGGAGGGACCAGCAGTTAGCGTAATGGCTATGTTGCTGGACTCCCATGTAGTTGACCACGGTTCTCATCACAGACTGGGGGGCTTAAAACTCACGCCGGGCGTGTGTGCATGTGTGCCCAAGATCCTGAGAGGAGAATGGAGGAGAAGGGATTGCAGCGTGACCATCCCCCCTGGGGGAGGATTTCTCACTTTCTGTCTCTCTGTCTCTCTCCGTGTGTCTGTCTGGCGAGCACACGCGCCCTATAGCAAAAACCTCTCAAAAAAAGAAAAAAAAAAGAACAATTACAAAAGGACAACCAATTAAAAAAGGACAAAGTACTTGAATAGACATTTCTCCAAAAAAGATATACACATGATCGTTGGCATATGAAAAGATGTTCAGCATCACTAATCATTAGGAAAATAGAAATCAAAAGCACAATGAAGCCACTTCAAAGCCTTTAGAATAGATTTTACTGAAAAAAATAGAAAAGGAAAAAAATAACAAGTGATGGTGAGAATGTGGAGAAATTAGAATACTTGTGCTTGCTGGTGAGAATGTCAAATGGTGCTCCTGCTGTGGAAATGGAGGTTCCTAAAAAAATTAAAAATAGAATTACTATATAATACAGAAATTCCACTAATGGGTACCAATCCAAAAGAACTGAAAGCAGTTGCCTGGGGCCAGCAGGTGACATGGTTAAGACGTTGGACTCCCACATGGCTGACATGGTTTGAGTCCCAGACCTGGTAACTTGTTTTCTCATATTCCCTTTCTTTCTTCTCCCTCTCTCTCTTTCTAGTCAGATTAAAAAATAGTAATAAATAAAATTAAAATAAAGAATTCTTTAAAAAATAAAGAAAGAAAGCAGGGGTTCAAACAAATATTTGTGGATCTGTGTTTATAATAATGTTATTCACAATTACCAAAAGCTGGAAACAACAAATAAATGAATGAACAAAATTATACACACACACACACACACACACACACACACACACACACACATATATATAAAGAGGGATTACTCAACCTTAAAAAGGAAGGAAATTCAGGTACATGCTACAGCATGGATAAACCTTGAGGACATTCTGCAAAAAAGACAAATTCTGCATGATTCCACTTACATGAGGTACTTATAATGTCAAACTCGCAGAGGAGAGTGGTGGTTGCCAGGGGCTGGGCCAGGCCGGGGGTGGGGATTTAGTGTTTAATAGGTACAGAATTTCAGTTTGGGAAGATGAAACGGTTCTGGAGATGGAGGGTGGTGATGGCTGCCTGTGAACATACTTCATGCCACTGAACTGTACTTCGAAATGGCTATAATAGTAAATTGTATGTATATTTTACCACAGTTAAAAAAAAAAAACACAACTAGTAATTCAGAAAAAGACAACAGAAACCATTGCTAGTCTCTCTATTTTGTGATCTTACTATTTCTTTAGTGAATCTGTTGATCAGTAGAAGGACTTCCACCCATTCAGTTGCAACTTCAGTTTGCCTAACTCATAAGATCATAACTTCCTGATTGTAGAATTCTTCCACCGTGTGTGAAGGGATCTTAGGAGCACAATCCTCACAGTTAGAGGAAATCTTTTCTGCGAAAAAGACTGGGGAGCAATGTATGACATACGCACTGGTGTGAGGAGATGACTTACAAGGCCCAATTTGTCAGACATGGGAAGGAAAAAGGGAGCAGAGATAAGCTGCATGGTCTTTACTTCTCCTTGAGCTCTGCACCTCGCAGTGGCCTCACCGTTCCCTAAAGTTCCCACATTTCTCTCTAGCTATATCCCCTGTTGAATGAGGGGAAAAGTTCTAGGCATTCCTCAGACTCGCCCACCAGCTCTACACGAGCAGAGTGCCAGGAACCCACCTATGATCTCTCACATGCATAGGAAGGGACTTCACACTGTTCATGGAAAATAGGAATTAAACTCTGAGTTTATTTTGATGCAAAACAATTTGAAATCCATGCCTTGTGTTTGCATGATACATGTTTGCTATGAACATTTTAAAGACTCCTTGCATTTTTATCCAGTGGAATCTCAAGTGTGTTGGGGTTACTGCTAGATCAGACCAGGGAGGGATGTTGGTGACGGCTCCTCCCTTCCTCATTACAATCTCTCATGTCTTCAAGCCTCCCTGGACTCCTTCTCCTCTCCAGCCCCTGTTCTCTCAGACTGCTCCATCTCTTCCTTATCCCATGCTCCATCTTCCATTTACATTTAGTCTGGGGTTGAGATCTGAAGGACAGGATGCTCCCTCCCTGAGGAGTTGCGAGGGCCTTCACTGGGCATGTGTCCACCCACCCATGGGAACTGTCACCTGGTACACTTGCATTAACTGAGAGAGGAATTCTTCCAGATTCGTCCTTGGAGGGCAGTGGCATGAGTGCATGAGGGGACAGGGGAGGAGGCACAGACACCCAGGGAAGACTTCTAGATGTACGAAAAACTCCTATTTTCAAACTAGTGCTTAGGGACTGGGTCTTCTTTGGTTTGTGGCTAAGTTTCTTCAAGAATCTTTTTTCTTTGATTGAGTGGGTATTTAAAATAGATTTCGAGGGCCAGATGGTAACATGGTGGTAAGGCAACTGGGCCCACATGGGTAGGAGTCTGAATTTGAGTGCCACAACCTCCCTGAGCATGCTTGGGATGGGGGGGGGAGTGTGTGTGCCCGTGATCTAGGCCAGCTGAGACTGGTGCCTGTGTGTCTATCTCTTTCATATGGAAGAAATAAATAAGCTTTAGTTAATCAATCAATCAATTAATTAAATAGATTTGGAGCTGACCTATGGCAGTTAGAGACCCTACTGTTAGCAAGTAAGAAAACTTAACTACTGGCTTCTTTCCTCCCATGGTGCTTGGGTGGAGTGGAATGCAGGCCCGGAGACACTTCTACTAATGATGATGGGTAAAGCTCCCCAGGATCCAGCAAAGCTGCCCAGAAGTTTTCTAAACAGACCACCTGCTGTGGCTCTGCTGTGCTGATGTGCCTATTCTAAGGATAATTCTGGACAAGTCAAGAGCTTGCTCCCATTATCTCTTTAACATCTGCTAAGAGGCACGCTGAGGACTCCTGGCTCCCAGGCCCCTCTCGGTGAACGCAGCTGAGAAGCAGCAGCCTTAGGTGCCTCTCGGTGGCACTGGCTGTAATCTGCTCAAGGTGCCCATAGCAGATCTCAGCAGCAGCAAGCACGGATAGGCCCAGGCTGCCCTAAGAGCCAGCCCTGAGCTGGTGACTCAGCAGGGGAGCTGGGGGTGGTAGCTGGGGCCTGAGGGGCCGTGCACTGGTGACAACTGAGTCCAAGGGCTTTTGTGTAGGAGAAGACAGGAAGCTGAGTCCCAAGAACAGGCCCAGTAGCAGAACTGCAATCTAATGAATTCACAGGAATTCCATTTGTGTCACTAAACTCTCCCTGTGGGTTTAGAAAAACAGATCCCCTGCTTGGTGATTCCTAAAATGAAGCTTGAGCAAAGGTCTAAGTCCCACAGCCAAGAGACCTCTCTTTTCCTTCTTGACTACCCACTCCCCCCTGTCGCCCAGGCCCAAGCAATTACACAAGATCACCCAGAGTACTGTGGGTGAAGATTTTCCTTTATTCGTTTTTATTTTGAAGAGAAAGGGCCAGAGTGAGATGATGCCAACACATCAGGCAGGGATGACCCCTGCGCTTTTGGAACACATGGACAACCACACTGCATCAGCAGCTGACAGTGAGGCTGACAGCAAATGCACCCCATGAAAAGACTGTCCCCTCTGCTACAAAAGCCCCCAACCCCATTATTATTTGTTTCAAGACTCCCACCCCAACCTACCCAAGGACAGGCCACCTTGTCATTCTTAGGAAGATCCTCTGGCACATTGGGCTTTCGTTCTCTCAGAACCCTCATCCTCCAAATTAAACATGCATCCCCTGGAAAGAAAGGGACATCGACACAGGATGCTGGAACATGGAGTCGTGGCATGCTTCATTTTTCATCATCCACCAGCTTGGGAGAAGCCTGCCTTGCATCACAGAAGAGATGGAAAGAGCGTTCATGCCTTACCACCTTTCCCGTCTCCCCAGGCCCCGGTGCCAAGTGGTCCTGGATTTCCCTTCTGGCCCCGCCTGATTTTAAACAATCCAACCAGGAAGCTTCTCACTTTTTTTCCTTGGAAAAAGGATATCTGGGAGCCTACAGATGTGGGGTTCAACTGAATGTTCAAACCAAAATTTTCTTTTTGCCTGGTTTGTTTCACCCAAAGGTCTCATCCTATTCCCCCAAGGGGATTTCTGATGTCTGAAGCCTTCAAACCGGACTCCAAGCTTCCCCAGCAATGTGTGGGCCCCATGGAATGTATTTAGTTGCCCCTCACCACTGGCTTCTCTGTGTTCCCCCAGAGAGGTCTTAAGCATCTCTCCCCATGGTTTAGCTGTGATGCCCTCACGAGGTGTCCAGAGTGGCAGGGGCATGTCAGGTGCCTTTGCTTTCTGTCCTCTCCTCATCAGCCGTCTGAGCGTTGCTGACGGTGCGGAGATGCCCCTGGGCTGCAGGCTTCACCGACAGGACCAAGCGTTTGCGGAAAGTCTCGCAGAGCACAATGTACACAAAGGGGTTGAGGCAGCTGTTGGCATAGCCCAAGCTGATGGCCGCGTTGTACAGGTAGACAAAGGTGAGGGTCGGGCGGCTAATGGACAACTGGGTCAGCTGTAGCACATAGTAGGGTGCCCAGCACACAAAGAAGACCAGGCAGATGGCAATGGCGGTGCGAGTCACTCTCTTCGTACGCAGCCGAATGCTGCGTTGAGAGGCAGGGGCTACAGAGGTCGTCATGCGCTGCAGTATCCGCACATAGGCAGCTGTGATTACCACGAAGGGCAGGGCAAAGGCCAGGAAGAACTGGTACAGGGTGAACCAGTAGAGGTCAGTGTCTGGGTTGGGCAGGCGGATACCGCAGCCCACCGCACCTCCTGGGAAGGGAATGAGCCTGGCATAGAGCCATACAGGGGTGATGCTGATGAAGGAGAGGGCCCACAGCAGGCAGATCACCACGGTGGCCACAGAGGGCTTCCGGAACTTGGTGGAGGAGATGGGGTGGACGGTAGCCAGATAGCGGTCAATGGCCATGGCAGTCAGGATGTAGGTGCTGGTGAACTGACTGTTGGCGTCCATGGCTGTGATGAGGGTGCACATAGTCTCCCCAAAGTGCCAGACCCCATTGCCCATGAGCTGGTGGATCATGAAGGGCATGCCCAGGAGGAACAGGAGGTCCACCACCGATAGGTTGATGATGAAGATGTCAGGGACGTTGCTGCACCAGTGCAGCTTGGACTTCTTCACGACCGCGAAGATGACCGTGGAGTTCCCGACAATGCCTAGCAGGCAGATGGTGCCGAACACGGAAGGCATGATGATGTTGATGTAGGAGATGCTCCCCGTGCGAGGAGGGGACCCTGAGGACAGAGGAGCAAGTGTCTACCATTTGATATGGCCTCTGTTCTGCGAGCTGCCATCCTGCTGCCTGACTCAGCCTCCAGAGACGTTCTTGCTTACCATTCATCCTACTATTTCAGGTCGGGGCCCACCATTCATCTGGAAGCTTCCTCTCCTGCCATTCTCCCACCCCGCACTGTTGCTAATCCTGTCCCCACGCCCTCCTCTACCATTCCCGGGTGAGTCCTCCCAGATTCTCCAGAGCCACCTGTTAGTGGAAGGACCCAATCCCTTGCCACCTGCATGAAGGCATAGAATCAAGAAGCACAGCTGTCTGTAGAGAATTACTCTGGGCCCCTGGGTTTCACCAGGAAACCTCCTCAAAATAGCTGGAAGGACACGAAAGTGTGTGCACACACACACAAGCAGCCTGAGCATCTCATTTTAGAGATCTCTGGTTGTGCCGCGTCCTGATTCCTGGTGTCCCTGTGGGTGACTGTCTCATGGAGGCTTTTGCTGGCAGTCTCCAGGTCAAGCCCTCAGCACACACACTCCAGGCTTCCTCTTAGGGGTTTCCTTGGAGAGGGACTTCTGAGCCTGGGCTTCCCGACAGGAGCAGAGACAGGCTGGATGCTGCAGCCCAGCCTGAGCCTTCTCTCCGCACAAACCTCT